ATATCCAAAATTCCATTAAAGTCATTATCATGAATTCACAACCCTACAAAGATAGCCTACTCATACACAACCAACGACCAAAATACTAAAAACAAAACAACTGAATCAACATATAACTCAACTACATTCGTCAGAGATTAACCAAAGCATGAATAATTTCTACCAACTACAATTCTATATGCTTCAACCTGTCAACAACATCAAATCTCTCCCAAGTTCATCATTTACAAACTCCTGCCCAGTACAAAAATTACTTTTTCCTACAAGATTATGAACCAGACCAGTGGACGATTGCCAATGTTTAACAACCACAATTTAGCACACGTTATAGAATACTTAAGCCAATTACAATTATACAACATACATAACACATACCTGGGTAGCAACAACATCATTCGATAATACTTGAGTTTCCGGTATACTTTCAACAATGTTGATGTAATCATGTGGGAAGGCATCGGCCACGGAAGTAGATGAAAGAAACTGTTCATTTTCTCGCTCTACTGATGATCTTTTTCCTAAAAAGTAGCATAACACATTAATAATCAAGTCGATATTATTATAAACTTCAAATAAGTAAATAATGTTTCAAAAATAAATATCATGTAAGAGTAGGTGCATAACTCATACCAATTCTTTATTTTCGTAATTTTTTATTTTTTACCCTATGTACAATTTCTTCAACCTTCAATTGCTTTTTTCTATATGGAGGACGACTCTTGCTACAAACTGCCTGTGAACTAATAATTAGACTATTCCCCTCTTTCGGAGGACTGTTTCCATCTTTACTACTCAAACCGGTTGTGAAAGAGATGTTTACTTTTCTACCAAGCCCTCCCTCACTTTCCTTTTGCTCCAACTTTTTTCTCATGTCAATCATAAATTCCATCAATATATTACAATCTTCCTCATTGTTTGATGCCATATAAGCTACTGTCAGCATTATATTAGACAACTTATCAAAACGATATCCTTCAACGTTGGTGCTCCAATGTCTTCCCTGCTTTCTTTTTGGAATTCTAGTGGTTCGAGAGATTTCTATGTCACGTGGCCGTAGATTCTTAGCCGTAACATGTTTGAATCTTTTGTCATTGGTTGATTTTTATTTGTTAATGCTGTGTGATTGGATGAGTCTAGTTATTGTTCAATTTTTTCGGAATTTTTTAATTGCGTAAGGAAAGTATGCGCGGTCTCATCGTTCGCTTTTTCTTTTTCTTTTTTAAATTAAACAGTCTATAATTGAAAAAGAAAGTTAATATTAACTAAAATTGACATTCACTCACATTTCTTCTACGAAATCACAGCTATAACGATTATAAGTCGTACTTTTCTAGATTAAGGTAATTCTATTAACCCATTATTTGATATGAATTTTTTTTTTAAATAATCTATAATATAACGGGGGCGTTTAGATCATATAATATTTTATTATAAGAGTATATTATATTAACGCAAAGAAAGATCACCTTGAAGATTACTGAAAATGTTTAGAAAATGTATTTGATTAGTTCGAATAAATTGGTGAATAATATGTTTAGTTGAAATGATAAATTGATGTGTATGTTATATAAATTACTAAATTGCCCTCCTTTTTAAATATTAATATAATAGTATTTTTTATTATTATTTTTTAAATCATTTCTTTTAACCCTCAACATTTGAAATTTTGCTAAAACACCCTAGCTATATAAAACTTTAATTTGTAGCAAAATCACTCACACCCACCCAAGCCACTGTCGGCAGCCAGTCACCAACGTCGGCCGTCGCCGACAGTTGACGGAATGGTGCACAACTGGTCGTATATGGCCGGTCATGCATTGACAAAGCCGGAAATGGCCATCAATCACAAATCCATGGCCTTTTCATGGCTAGATCTATGGCCATTTCACAGCCAAAGATGTGGCTGTGAAACGGCCACTGATTTTGGCAGTGAAAAGGCCAGATCTTTGGCCGTGAAATGTCACAACCACAGATTTGGCCTCCGTTTCATGGTCACATCTTTCGCCGTTTGTGATCCATGGCTAGAAAAGGCCTTACCGGTGCACGATCGGCCATAATTCGTCGGTCTTGCACCATTACGACGACTTACGCGGACGGCTGACAGTGGTGAGTCATGACCGGCGGTGGTCTTGGGTGGCTGAGGGTATTTTATTAACTTTTAAACTTTTTTGTGACTAGGGTATTTTAGCTAATTTCTCAAATGTAGGAGGTTGGGTAATTGTTATTTGGTAGACATTTGAGGGCAATTGTGTCCGAAATGATTTTTAATTAAGGGTAAAATAGGAAAAAAACCATATTACCCGGGTAATGTTTTAATAACAGCCTCTAGCAAGGTAATAAGATTACCTCCCACATTACCAACAGTAACTACTATTTGCAATAAAAGATGACCGTAATATTTTATTACTTGCAAACCAAACACAGGAATCTTGTAAAATAAACGAATATTACTCTCGTTATCTTATTTACCCCTGATCTAAACGGCCCCAACGACTAAACAATTTTTTTTTTGTTTCACCCAAAGAATAGTTTAATGACATTTTTTTCACCCATAAGCTTTTAAAATACCACTTTATTATCTAAATTTATATTCCGTTTCCTAGTATTATATTATTGCAACTCCAACACCACCACTATTCTTTTCCTTGATCTTTACTCATCAAAGCCCCTCAAACCTACTCTTGTCGAACCCATCCTTTGCTGACAATCAAGTAACTAGGGTTTGAGCAGTCGTCCTTCCCAAGTCAAATTTTGATAAATCTCAAACACCAAAAATCTAACATTCTACTACCAAAAGACTAATTGGTCTCTCCTCTTCAAAAGCCCTAACAGTCTGGACTGAGTTTGCTCTTTATTCGCAGTCAAAATATAAATATAGGTAATAAAATAGTATTTTAAAAGTTTGTGGATGGGAACATATCCTTAAGTCATTATTTGGGTGGGAAAAATTCTTAACTCATATTGTCTCATAATATAACTGTATCAAATTATATATTGGACTCTTGAATGAGCCGTTGATTAAAAATTTCTGTCTAGACTATAGTTTAATATTTTATCTGACGTGATAAGAGGAAATAAATGTAATCTTTTAAAGTGGATTTTAGAATATGATGGTAAATAAACTAAAAGAAAAGAAGCAATGGATTTTTTTTAATATTCATCTTGTATCACTATATGCAGTAGTCAATAGTAAATACTGTCATAAACATAAAAAAAAATTGAGTAATGCTACAGACACCGGGAGTAGTGCATCGAATTTGTGCACCAAATGACATGACACAATCTTGGCCATTGATTAATATTAAATTATAATTAATCGATGGTCAGGATTTTGTCACGTCATTCGGTGCACAGATTCAGTGCACTACTCCTAGTGTCTATTATTTTCCAAAAAAAATTGCTTCTAATAAGCCTGCTCCTTTATCATCTATAATTATACTTTATGTTTAATTATTTCAAGCCGATATCACATTGTGCTTTTTATGCTTACAAGCAATGTTTTAAAACCCAACCGGGGGTGAAACTTGGCAAAGTTGTCGGGTCCTGGGTTGACCGGTTTGACCCCTAAAAATTCGTTAAGTCCTTATAGATTTGAAATTTAGCAAACACACCCCAAATGCAAATCGGCCGGCGACGACACCCCAGATGCAACCCCAATCGTCCTTTGAGTCAATTCCCCTTAAAATATACCCAAGATCTGGCCAAAATAGGTTCGATTTTGGCAAGATCTCACCGATGCCCACGTCGAAATTCTAGGCTAGATCTCATCGACGCCGATGTCGACAACCCTCCCCATCACCCAGAAATTACTCTCTTCTTCCTCCCGACCAAAACTCACCTCACCCCACCCCCTTTAGCCTCATCAATCGTCGCCGTTGCCAGTTTTATTCGATTTTCGGTCGAATTACTCACCGAAAATCAACTCTATCACCACCATTGCATTCGCCGACACTTTCTCTTCAAAAGCCCTAACATCTCGGCTGTCAATTGTTCGTCGATCATCCTCCCAAATCCTAGGGTTTTGGGTGAATAGGAAAGATATAAACCCAGCCCGTTGAAGCTTCCAAGTCCCGGTTGAACCTGTTAAATCGGTCCGATCAGGTCGGGTTTTAAAATATTGCTTACAAATATCACAAAGACACAAACTAGACTCCATGAAAGGTCAAGTCTGATATGCTAAAAGCGAATGCAAAAGCATCAAATAAGCCAAAAGTTTTTTTGGTTTTTGGTTCCTTTGAATTACCGACTAGTAAAAGTTACAATGGTTACTCTTATTAGCACAAGCAATAAAAAGAGAGACTCAAACTTAAAATCTTTTAAATAATATACGAAAAAATTCTTATCCAACCACTCGACCACTGAGAGTAGTTAATAAATCAATTTTTTTTTTCATCTTCATCTAAAATTGTAAATAATCTACTTGAACTTGGACTATAGATCGATACTGATGCACCAGTCCACTGGGTCATATCATATTTCCACAAAAACTTGACCCGTAAAAGCCCATCAATCCGCCAGCCTTATCACGCATTTGATATATGATACTTGCATACCAAAAATTGAAGTCACATGTATGATCGAAAATGATAGAGCCACCGAAGATTGCGCACTAAATCTGTGCATTGAATGACATAGCAAAATCCTTATTGTTGATTAATATTAACTTATAATAAATCAATAATTAAAATTTTATCACGTTATTCGGTATACAGATTCAATGTGCAACCTTCGATTGTTGTAAGATTACTTCATGTATGATTAGGCCACAGGCATTAAGTACTGGCTTTAACTATTGTGTAAACATTTTATAAGTTAGGTAACCGAAAAAAAAGTACTACTAACCAAGTTATGCCACGTCAGTAATTAAATAATCACACTGACACTCATCCACGACTCTCAAACAAAATGACCACAAAACCTTTTAGTGGTGACGTGGCGTTCATCTATATGTTAAAAGGATCACCATAGACAAAAAGCCCGCCTTGGAGATCCTTATAGTTCAGTTGGCATAATAAAGATACGGATAATTCGAAAAATCACTCTCACCTCCTCCACTTCAAAGCCTTCCCTCATCTCCACCTCTCATGAGAAGCTGAGCACATAATTCCACATCACATGGCGAAGACTCTTATTTCATCACCACCGTTCATCGGCGTGCCGCTCCCATCATCATCATCATCATCATTATTTTCACTCTCTCGCCATGGTCTCCACCCGCTCCCTCACCGTAGACTCGCCTCCACCAGAGTGAAACTCAGCTTCCAAGAAATTCCTCCAATTCATTCCATAGACTCGTCAGTTGACTTCAGCTCAATTTATAGCCGAGCCGAGAGCTTGCTCTACACGATTGCAGATGCTGCCGTTTCACTTGATTCTGCTTCCGGCGGCGGCGCCTCCACGTCAGCAGACGCTGCTACACAGAAAAATGGCGGGTGGTTCGGCTTTATCTCCGAAGCCATGGAGTTTGTTCTCAAGGTAGTTTAAATTCTATGCATTTATGTACGGATAAACGTATATAAATACACGTGTATTAGGGAGTTGGGTTTTGAAATGATGGTTACTGAATTGATTACGAGTTTATTTGATGATTTTAATTTTTGAAATTTGTGAGAATTGGTGAGTTTTTTGTGGATTATAAAATCATATACGAATCATTGAGTTGGCTGTTAGAGTATCGGATATATTTTGAGAGAAAAGAAGCTTCTCTACGTTTCAGCTCAATGATTTGTCTTTTTGGAAGTGCTATACTGATTTGTGGATATGTCGTGAGGGAAAAGAAGCATTCCAGTTACTTTTATTATCTATAAAATTGTTTTCAGATGTTTTTATAGGGAACACTCGAAGTGCTTTTATGATCTCGAACCATTTTTTGTGTATTTGAATAAAACATCATAAAATAGATACTAAACACTTTTGACAATGTTAAAATACTCCTGGACGGATCCTGGGTTTATCATTATGTTGAAGGCTATATTTTGATGTGACTGGTGGAAGATTTTCATTAAGCCTTTTAAGTTTTAACTATTTGCAGCAAACATGTCGGTATACTTATGCTTGCTAATGTTTTTATTACATTTTAATCATATTTCAGGTGTTGAAGGATGGGCTTTCAGCTGTGCATGTGCCCTATGCCTATGGTTTTGCTATTATTTTGTTGACAGTTATTGTTAAAGTTGTCACATTTCCCTTAACAAAGCAACAGGTGAGCATAAAATACATACAAAAACGCTTTTGACAAAATGCTTGCCTTGTTTTTCTTTTGTATGTAATATTCTTTTTTTTTGGTTTTGCAAATGATTAATTCATTGAGATTCAGTACGCCTAGGGGAATGTGTAATTTTTGGCTGCTCTTGACAATGTTGGTGTTGTTTGACCTTGATGAAAATGTAGGTGGAATCAACATTAGCTATGCAAAACCTTCAACCAAAGATCAAAGCTATTCAACAAAGATATGCTGGCAATCAGGTGAGGCATATTCTCAGTAGAAGGGAGTTCTTCAAATTCTGAGGTTGAGCTTGAGCTTGAGCAATCATTTTTTCTTTTGATATTAATATGATTCTTTTTTGCTATCCACTTTTCAGGAGAGAATACAACTTGAGACATCTCGTTTATATAAGCAGGCCGGGGTTAATCCATTAGCAGGTACTCCTTTAATTTATCATTGGACATTGCATTTCATTTTCATGTTCGATCTACTTTTTTTTCTTCCACAAATTGCTTTCGGCTTTTAAGTCCAGTAAATCATTAGTAAAAAAGTGATGTTGATGCTTTGTTTGCCAGTTGTGAGATAACTGTTGCGTTTTGATTTTTAAGTGAAAAGTTGAAAATGCACAAGTTTTTTTTTTCTTTCTTTCATCTTCTTCTTCTTCTTGTTTTTTAACCAGGATAAAAATCTCGTCAATCATTTTCTTTTGAGAAGTCACTATCATCAGTATCACATGCAAGTATGTAGTATGCACTTCATTAAAGGTTGTTTCAGAGTTGGAGTTTGCATGTTTTCAATTTTCTATCTAGGTCTTAACACTTTTGTCTGTCCTATCCTTTCCCAATTCTTTATAGCTGTTAAACGTGCACTCTTTGTTATTTAGCTAATCCATATCAATGCCTTTTAAACATTGATCTAGGTTGTTTGCCAACATTGGCAACTATACCTGTCTGGATAGGTCTGTATCAAGCACTTTCAAATGTTGCAAACGAGGTAATTAATAGGTTGATAATCATTACTATTAACTGATGTGATTCTACTTTTAAAATTGCAGAATCATTACATTATTTCTGACACTTGTAAACTATTAAATTTAAGGGACTGTTAACTGAAGGTTTCTTTTGGATACCTTCATTGGGTGGGCCAACAACAATTGCTGCTCGACAAAGTGGATCTGGCATTTCTTGGCTCTTTCCATTTGTGGTAATAAAACTTTGTGTTTTCCAGATGTATGAAGCTAATAATTTTTTTCCTTTCCAAGCCTTTATGATGCTGCTGATGTTATCATGTGACTTCCCCTTTTAGTTTGAAGCTTGAACTTGAAACAATTATGATATGTACAAGTCCAGCAGAGTCATTTTACAGCGGAAATGATTTCTTTAACCTTCTACATGTATACATACTGTTTATTTATAATTTTGCTAGAGCTCCTATAGAATCTTTAAACTTGCATAAGCATATGAAATTGCAGTTTGCAGATGCTTCACTTTGCATGCTTTATTTATTTATTTATTATTCTTATTATTAATTGTAGAAACTTAGATAATCTAATATTATTCTCTTTCTTTTCTAAGCCAAGAGCCAACCTTATAAAAGCATGACTGCAGCTTTTGTATGCTGCACTTTGTTTCATTAAAAAGGTGTAGCATTACTCATTGTCGGTTCTCAGGTTTCTTTTATATTTTTACTTCCTGTGAACTGAATTTGACACATAAATGGGGGGTTTCCTGTTTGTGGTCCTTGTATTCAAGTTTCCTCTTTGAACTGGTAGAGGTATGTAGGGATGTTCTTCTTACTTAATTCCTTCAGTTTATTTTCCCTTACTGGTGGGTGTCAATGAAGAAGCTCTTAGTTCTGATATTCTGCTTCTCTAGCCTTTTTTCACATCATTCATAGGAAAACAAATGCCGTCTTTCAGTAGCAGTTCCTAAAGCATTGAGTCAAGTATGATTTCAACTGTGTGAATTCTTCTTCATGAGTTTTGAGATTGAAGGATTCTAAAGCAATTGCATTGTTGTAATTCTTTGAAAGACGTTCGTCATCATTTGCCTTGATCTCCTCATTCTAGCTAACTTTTAAGTAATGATATGTACTTTATTGAGTTGGGTGCTGGTCATTGATGTTGGGACGTACACAAACCCATTTCATATTATACCCAGCAGGATGGTGGACTCTGGTGAGGTCAACTCCTTTTTTTACTGGGTCTTGAGTTTAGATCTACGGCTTGTTGGGAAATAGTGATGGATGATTATTCATAAATTTGCAGATGGTTTTATATGTTTAGGGAAATTGATGATCTTTGTTCTGTCATTTTTGTTTAGCTAACTCGTAGCAAGTATCCTGCTGTTGAGGCACTTGTCTTTTTGCTCCTTATTTCATAAGGATGTTTCTTCCTGTTTTCTACCTTCTTGTTAAAAATTAGTTTCTTGTTATATATCCAGGAGAGATGTTCCTTGGTATCTTAGAAAGCATTTAGTTCTTACAACTGGTAGGTTAGTTGTTACTACTTTGATTTGATGTGCTAGCTTATATGGTTCAGATTGTTGTGTCTTTACATATAGTTGCTGCATGTGGATAAATGGGAATCATAGAGAGTACCCGTGTACTGAAACATGAGTGCTGAATAGAACTTTCTGCATAAATGTAATAGATTATCTTCCTGATTTAACTGTAATTATTAATTGTTTTTTCTTAGTTATTAAGGCATTAGTCATTCATGATTTTGGTGAATTAAATTTGATTATTTAACTTACAATGAATTTGGTGATATAAACGCAGGATGGCCATCCACCGCTGGGTTGGCAAGACACAGCTGCATACCTTGTTTTGCCTGTCCTTCTTGTTGCTTCTCAGTATGTCTCAATGGAGCTCATGAAGCCTCCCCAGGTTGGAAAAATGAATTCTCTTTACTTACCATTTGAATCTGCTTTGTTTCTTCTTCAAATAATGTTGAAGTCCTGGGTTGGTTTGTTTTGACAGACAGATGATCCAGCTCAAAAGAACACACTTCTTGTTTTCAAGTTTCTTCCACTTATGATTGGTTACTTTTCCTTGTCCGTTCCATCAGGGTTATCAATTTACTGGTTCGTTTCCTATCAGCAATATTTCTGAAGCAATTAACTTAAATCCATGTGCTCTATATGCAATTTGTGCCGGTTATTGGGCTACATTTCTGTTGACATGTGCTGAATTTGAGGAATATGTTCTACCTTATCTTTAGCAACCAGTTGCCATAGATTGATAGTGTGGGCTTAATAGGTGAGACTGTCATTTCCTAAAAGAAAGATGTTCTGGTCAATTTAAGATTACCATCCTATCCTTACCAAGCAAAGAACTCTTTCTCAAAATGATTAACTCCCAATCAGAGCCCCATAAGCGCAAAATATGTTGCTGAGCTTTTTTGAAATCCAAGAGCTCTACAGTCTTTCAGGGTCACCCATTTTTGGGGGGAGTGCACTGGAGTCACCGACTTTGTTGCGGGATGTCGGATTATGGTGACTCTAATGTGGGATGTTGAACTGTCTTAATGTACTGAAGTTCTCTTAGGTCCATAATGAGACTTGCACATTGAAGTTTAGGAATTCAAACGCATTAATCAAATGGCTTAAATAATTTGTAAAAAATGTGGGGCTCTCAAACCAAAGCTTATATATATATATATAGGAGTTCCAATATCTTAATGTTTTCTCTTGTTATGGTGCTTAGTCGTGCACATGGTCATTTAGATCTAATGCTTTGCCTTCGAACTCAAGTTTTCTAAGTGGGTTTATGGGTTTCCTGGGCTCAAAAAATAAATAAATAAATAAATAAAACGAAAAAGATATTCCTCCTTCCTCCAACCAATTAGGGTGCCTTGCATTCTTTATCGCTATTAGTTTTCTGCACTTCAGTCTATGTATTGTGAAATTTTATTTCAGCCAAACTACTACACTCTCCATGGATGCAGTTGAAGAAATACATCTCCCTTGTTTAGTTGTTCATGGTGGACCCTTAATTTGTATTTTCAAAGAGCTTTCTTCTGTAAATTAGCTTATAATGTGCACCATGCGGTTTTTAGGTTCACAAATAATGTCCTCAGCACAGCGCAGCAAGTGTGGTTACGCAAATTAGGTGGTGCAAAGCCTGTTGTTAATGAGAATGCAAGTGGAATCATCTCTGCTGGACGTGCAAAAAGATCAGCTTCTCAGCCATCTCGGGCTGGTGATAGGTCAGTTTTCTGTTCAGAAACTTTTTTTTCTCCAGCTGCTTCAACAGTGTCTCACTTATAAAAATGGCAATCAACAGGTTCCGGCAATTAAAAGAGGAAGAGAAGAGGAAGAAACTGAACAAGGCTTTAGCCGAAGAAGAGGTTCAAAATCTGAATTCTGCATCTGATTCTGAAGAGGAATCCGATGTTGAGTCCACAAACAAGGTAAAAATTAGATTTTGATGATATAAAGATGACTCTTCTGAAAAAAATCTTCTGGAACTTATTATTTGTTACAAAGTCTAGTCTCATTGTCAATGAGAGAAAGGGTTAAAAGGGGAAAAAAACTTAAAAAAGAAGTTTGCATTTTTCATTGTTATACTATACTCACAATTGTGACAGTGGTATAGGAAACAGCTATCCCCAGTGGCAAAAGTGCTACCATATGAGGATTACAATTTTGTTGAATTTGCTATGTGATATGCAAATAATAGTTGCTTGCGGAAATCTTTAACCAAAAAGCTTTTTGTGGGACCATGGATTGTAAGGCTTGAACTTTCCTTGCATGTTACACTTTTTTCAGTGCCTCAAATGACCATTATTTTATTCCTTTTCTGCACACATGCATGCTTTCTTTGAAATTCTGTGAAGTAGGAATGATGAAAAAGAAATGAGCAATAAGACACAAAAGTTGGCTTTGTAGGACAGAGTTTAAAGTTTAGTTCTCACAGAATGTTAATGGCAACATGATCATGATATTGCTGTCTTGTTGTGGCAATCATAGGTGGTTTCCACTGTCCAACACTGATTGAACCTTGAAGTAAACTCAACAGTCTAAAGGAGTACAGACATTTTTTTTTTTTTTGGGTCTCTGTGTTTGGGCACAATCATGTGTGGAGCTTTCTTCGTATGATTAACTTCTATGCTAGCCTAAAGGGAAGCCCACGGCTTCTGATTCCACCATGGAACACCATCCATTCACATAAAATTGAAGTATTATCTTGCAGTACCATCAACACTAGAAACTGTGTTGCTAGGTGTAAATGACTTTTATTTATTTTTTGTTAAAGTTAATCTAAATTTGTAAGATAATTACTTCATTTCTCACCTGCAGATAATTAGGTCAATTTTAGATGTTGGCTTGATATCATATAAACAAAATTCAATTTTTCACCTACAGAGGATGCAAATTAGGAAGCATACATGTTGATTAAAGCATCTGTTTTGTTATTTATGTACAATTTTCATTGTTTGTTGCTATACGCCCCAACTCAGTTGTACTCAAAAGAGTCCTAATATATGGGATGTCCAGTTGTACCATCAAAAGTTGTTAAAATCTGAATTTCTGAACTATTTTACATGTCCCAACAGGATGATGGGGTTCTGGAAGGGGCATATGCTTCAAGTGTAAGCAAACAGGTACCAGATGCTTCTCGGCCAAGAAAAAGCAAGCGTTCAAAGCGGAAGCGTGCTGTATGAGAAAACAGAATACTGATTCGATTGTAGTTTAATGTGAGTCCTGTATATCTCAACAAAATTAATTTTAGTGAATATATAACAGCCATTTTTATGCAGGCATTTTCATTAATCATGTAATCTTTGTCTGATTAGTAACATTTTTGCATTCTACATAGTCCATGAAGCAATTGCGTAAACTTGTGATAGAACTAGGAAACTGTTTGCCTGATAATGCCAATTCTTATTCCTGGAAAATCTCATGAAGCAGAGTTGCTGGAGTTATAAAATGACTGGATGTATGTTTTGTGTTCATCATGCTCTTACCCAAATTCCAATAATATTTCATTAGGATCTTTGAATGAGTGATTGTACGAGAGAAAGAGAAACCAAACGCTTCAACTAACTGGAACTGCGGAAAACCGTGCTCCTTTCAGCTGCAATATATGATTCTTGTTTAAATTAACAGTTCTGTGGGTTTTGTAGTTGGTTAGACAGCTAGAATCATGAAAGATTAAGAGTTAATTAAGAAGTAGCAATGTCTATGTTACAACTGCTTTCAGACAAATGAATCTTAAAGTAAAATCCATTTTTGTACATGCACAATAACCTAAGGATCTGGGTTTCTCCAACGTGCATGAATACATTGATCTAACTTCGTAAAAACTAAAAGGAAAACTCTACTCCTTAGCTGAAGAAACAAAGAGTTGCTTCCATTCAATGCCTAGATGGAGGGTATTGATTTCCCACAGGGTTGGGCCCAGATGGAGCTTTGCGAAGTTTCTTCCACTCAACCTGTACACAATTTTTGTCATTCCATGGCCAAGAGTGAAGGAATTCAGGTACAAGCCATTACCATTATCTAAGATAAATGGAAGTTATTAGTTCTTACCCAAGTAGGGAAAACTTTCCCCGTATGTGCCCTTGAGCTAGGTTGTGCAGTTCTAGCATTGAATTCAACTGTTGGCAGCAAGAGACAAAAACAATTCCATCAGAATTTTAGCTACAAAACATATATCTATATATATATAGAGAGAGAGAGAGAGAGGGAGAGGGAGAAAGAGCATTAGTAAATTGCCTGATCCAATAGCTTGAACCATGACTTTGGGGGAGAAATATTGTTGCTGGGAAGCTGCAAGCAAGAGGCATGTTAAGAAAACAGAGGTAACAATCAGTTTTCTCATTTTGGGTTTGGAATATTGCAATGGTACAAGTGAGTTGAGTTGGTGTGATGTTTGAGGCAGGACTTTGAAAAATTATGAAGGTGTGGCTTTTATATAGAAAATGGTACATGTTTTATAATGATAACCAAACTTGAAAAAAATGGTGGGAATGTTGGTTGAGAATCCAATGCGATATTAAATGGTGAAATGATATTTGATAAGGTCAGGAATCTGAGTTTTTCTCCTCATTATGAATTGACTTCTTGACTGTTATCATTTCTCAGTTAATCATTACAACCATGATAAAAAAATTTATAAGTAGCTGCTATTATTTTCCCTTGAGTGCTTCATCCCTGGTGTCGGCATGGCCGTCTCCCCGACCCCGCAATTACATAATTCCAATATCTCACTTGCTTACACTACATCAGATGTATTATTTAATAATATTATCGCTTTGTCGTATTTGGTGTTTTCTGTAATACATTTGTGTTTTTATTAAGGGAAGGAATTGACTTAAAAGTGGAAGAGCCAGCGTGCTGTCCCTTTTCATTATGATTAAGAAGAAGACTCTTACTAGTTTAACTTATAAAAATAAAGTAACTACAATTAATGGAAGTTGTCAATGGAGATTTGTTTTCCCTTTTTTCCGGATTCTTAGGATTATACCATTCATTGCAGGGATGATAAACTCACCCAAGCATTCGTCATGAGAAGCCTTCAAGTATTCATCGGGTTTTAGTTACCACTCATTTTGTAGAATAATTCGTAGAGTAAGAGTTTTAACGACTACTCCTATTAATGGTTAAGGAAGAATTCGAACTCAAATTCGACCACCTAGAAGTTAATTATAAGTTTCACCTTTCACTTAGTTTGTAAAATAATTAGTGGAAAGCAACACAAATCTCACCCTATTTTTGCCTATTTTTGCTTTTGATAGTGATAGGGTACCTGCCATTAATCCTGTACTTTAGATTAACCAAATCCATTAATGATGTGTATTCTAAACTTGTTAGATTAACCACGATTAGTGATAGTATAACATAATAGTTTACTTCACCCTATCATCTCAAAATTATTCAACCATTCGTAAATATGGAAGGGTTCAAACGGGTTAGGTACCTGTACTTTGGATATAAAATGGCCCAAGATTCGAAGATCTATTTAACCCAGCAAAGAAGGCCCGTACAAATATATGTTTATTGAGGTAATTATTTTAAACCCCCTGAGGTATAGCCTAACGCTGTGTACCCCCTCTGGTATCGTTAATAGCTCTCAATCCCCTACCGTTTGTGAGAGCCCTGACATCTGCAGAACAAGTAATTACCCATTCTACCCTTATTTTTTATTTCAAAAGTCCCTTTATACCCTTAGGCTTCTTAAGAAAATTAATGGGTGCGTTTGGTTCATTATTTTGAATAGGATTTTGGGAATAATATTGGGTAGTTAGATAGGGGAGTATTACGAGGTAAACTTTAAAAATTTATGAAAAAATCCATTGGTTTGCTAATTTAATTAAAGACCCTAATATATAAAATGACAAAAACACCCATACCACCTGCAGTGCTAGATTCCGGTCACCACCGCCGGAATCTGGCCGAAAAATTTCGTTACGACACAGACTGGTCGGATCTGTATCGTAACGCGTCACTAAGGCCTTTTCCAACTAGATCCACCACGGATCTGGCCAGAAAAGGCTAGATCTACGGCCAAATGTTGCCATCAACTGTCGGAAAACGTAAAAAAAAGTCCATCTTTGGTTGTCGTTGACAGCCAGATCTGGCATTTTCCGGCCATGTGGATCTGGCTGGAAAAGGCCAGATCGGTTAACTTCCGGCCATTTCTGGTCCGCAGGTAGGCCGTTGTACAAATTCTGACTACCACCGATGGTGGTTGCCGGAATTTGGCAAGTATGGGTTGATGGGGGTGTTTTTGTTAAATTTTAAACTTTTTTCTGGGGGTATTTGATGAAATTAATAAGCTTAAGGGGTCTAAATGTAATTAAAAAATATAGTAATATTTCTGGAATAATGTGTCAAACAATATTTGGGGAATAGGATTGGGAATATAGATAAAAATAATAAACCAAACATGGCCATTAATATTACACTAACAACACTCTCTCACAACTCTGACATGACATCTCATAATTAGTCAGTTCACAACGGATCCCACATGAGTCTCACTAATTAATTACAAGCTAACCAATTGCGAGCTGTCATGTCAGAGAAGGTTGTTAGTGTAGTATTACTCGTCTTGAATAATACTACACCAATAATCCTCATGACCCTGACGTGACAGCTCACAATTAGTTAGTTCACAATGGGCCCACTAATTAATTACGAATTGACCAATTGCGAGCTACTATGTTAGAGTTGTGAGAGAGTTTATAAGAGAGGGTTGTTGGTATAATATTACTCGTCCTCCATTAACCACCATCAGCCCATCTCCTCCCCCACCACACACAAGTCCTTATGGTGCAAACATACATATGCAAAAATTAATTGAATTACATCTGCACCTAAATTCTTTTATATATACATCTTTGACTAAGCATATGTATCATAATTCAGTGACACCTGTAATAATGGTTCGTAACATCTTGACTTAAAAGCTTAGAGTGATAGTTAAGCTTCCAACAACCATACTTAAAATTAAACACCACCCACGATCATAGCCAATAAATATAACATTAATACATATACATGCTTAAATAATATTTTAGTTTTGAAAACAAAGAATATAAGGAATTATATGAAAACACGTTTGATTAAAATAAGTTGAAATGTTTTTGCGTGTAATGTTAAAAGTTAATGTAAAATTAGAAAACAAGAAAAATGATCCCAGTCTTTATATAGTTTTTAACTTCTAAAACAATTTTTGCATACTAAATATATTTTCAAATATTTTTGAATTGTAACTTAGTTTTTCAAAATTAAATTTGAATGCAATAGACTGAAAAAAAAAAAAAAAAAAAAAAAAAAAAAAAAAGGGTTATTAATTGGCACTTAAAACTGCAGCAGGAATGTCCCGTCCCCCTCTCCAAACGCAACTAGTCGTGGCATCTGTCCTGGTCCTCCTGGATAATTTATGTTTTCTAGAAAGGAATTATCTACAAATCCAAAGGCAGTGCAATAAACCGAACCCTTCCCGGTACACGTGAAGAAACACAGAGCAAACGAAGCAAAAGAATGGAACCAGAAGATCAAACCCTAGCCCAAAAACCCGAGAAGAAGAAGTCACAGCACCGGCTATGGCGGATACTAATGAAAACCCAAGCAACACAGCCCAACTCTCCAGACTCGAGTGAGTCAAATGACTCGGACTCAGAAGATGAAGATGAAGCACGCAAAAATTTGAGCTTCAAAACATCGAGTCCCAGCTCGCCAATGAGCCCTCCACTATGGTCCTGTTCAAGTACGTTTTTTTATATCAATTTGAATATAATTTCAATACCCAGTTCTTGGATTTTTGTTTGTAGTAATAGCATTTTTTTGCTTTTTGTTGTTGTTGTTGTTGTTGGTTTCATTACATAAGGGTTTTGAGGAAGATGGGTGAGATTGAGAAGCTTAGCCGGCAAGAGAGCTATGAATGAGATTTTTCCATTGACTCCTGTTATGTGCAGAGTGGGCTCGAGACGAAGCTTCAATTTCAACTGGGTGTTTTAGTTTTTGCAATTTGTGTTCTTGTTATTGGTTTCATGATCAAATTTTGATCGCTTAGGGTTTATGGTTACCCGAGAAAGTATTAAGAGAAAATAAATGGATTCATTTGAAAGGAGGAAGTGTATATCGTTTGGGGTTTAAACGGTGAAAAAGATTTGAATTAAAGTTTATGTGTTCTATCTACTGAACCTTAGCTCAAATGTTCGCTTAATTGAGTAACAGATGATGTTTCGGGCTTTCTTTCTTTCACCTTTTTTCGTATGTTGCAACTAGGAAGCAGTGATGGTTACTTGAGGTATTTTTTCGATAATTTGCTGTTTTCTGATATTTTGTTTGTTTATAGATTTTGAGTTTCCTCTTGTCATTGCTTTAATGGACAGTTTGCTTGCCCTCTTGCAAAACTCGTTTCTCTTAGTATAAGCGTATCTGTTTCTCCAATGTTGAAAATCAGTAAGTGTACCTTCTGATGAACGATACCCCCAAAGCAAAAAAATAAAAGGGTGGTCAGCTAAATTTTAAGATTTTGATATTTTCTTGTTATACATGACTGATACTAAAGCTTTGGATATACTTAAATATTTTATCGTTGTGTATGCTAGGTAGTTTCTTGCTGATTCTTTGCTTCAACTTTGCAGACCTGAGGCATTTCTGGGGATTGGAAGATTTATGAAAGAGAGTTTTGATTATCTGGTGGGTTCTTGTTTCATTATGGATTTTGAATTACTTTATGCATTTTTTATGGATTAAACATAGTGATCATAAGAATTCTCACTGGTGCTATTTTTAGTTATTTTCCTAAAAAAAAAATTCTGATAAAAAATAAAATAATAATAATAAGCTTGCCGTTCATCACTTTTGACTGGCTGATTATTCCAATAATGTATTACTAATGACAAAATGGCTCATTAGTTCATCGTATGGTAGAGATGATTGTAGGCCTTGCAATTCAGAATGGATATCAATATTCTACTTAGTGATGGTGTTTTTAGGACACTGTTCCTTTTTGATGCATCATCTAATGTTTCTACCAAATTGGGTGATAGGATAAACTTTTTCAAACTTCTTGGGGATGGAAATCTATTTTTGAAGTGGCAATGCATTTTGGAAGTTCACTTGCAAGTTTTCATCTTTTCCCTGTGGCAAATTAAGTTCTTGATACTTCCAGTCAATTTTGCATATATGTGGAATCAAGGGATGAAAATATATTCCATTCTTTGGAGTTCCTTTAACTAATAGTTTTTAAAATTAATGACTAGAACTTGTTCTGATGCAGTCTGTCTCACTTTGGTGTGACTACTTGAGATTTGTGCAAGAATATGATCCTCTATACGTGAATTTTCACCTGATGGTATTGCGAAGCAAGAAATCTATTCGGCGTGCTATAACTGCTGCTGGTTTGCATGTTGCTGAAGGCAGTAAATATGGGAAGCATACAGGGAATTTGTGCAAGCCATTCTCCATACCATAGATGAGACCAACATTAAGGTAAGAATTTATAATATATATATTAGAAACTTATTAGAAAAGTTCCCGAAGGATGCATTCTATTTCAATTCACTTGTTATTAAAGTCTTATTCCATCCTACTGGTTTGGTATCATGGTTTTAATGCTTTTGTGGGTCTTCCTTTATATTTCCTAGACCATGCTCAAGTTGCATGCCCTGTTTATTTTAGGAACTTTTTTTTTCTTTTTGTCATCATTAAGTATAGTTCATAAATTTTTTTTCTTCATTTCCCTATGAAGTGCTATGGTACCAAGAAAAATTATCTGTTTTCAAATTATTTTTGGAATTACTGCTGTTTTGCAGGAAAAAGAAAACAGGTTCAGCGCATCCGAAGTATATTTCACCGTCAGTTGTCTGTTCCCCTTGCTACTTAAGGTCAACTCTTCTTGCCTACAAGTCTTGGGAGGTGGAAATGGGACTGCTTTAGATGTTGAATCAGGTATTTAGATGGGATTCCTTCTACTGTTGCCTCAGCATACCAAAAGGCATTGGAGATGTATAATGCTCGACTGATTTTGAAGAACAGATTGCAAGGCAGGATATATCTGACTCTGAAAAATTTCAACAATTCGCGGTATAGTCATTTACTATCAGATTTTGTTTTAGACAGCTAATAATAATGCTGGGCCTTACATATACCTTAAGCATTTAGGTTAAGTGGTAACTTAATATGATATTAAAGTAGAGGCCATGATTTGAATCTCCCATCTATTACATTCTGCTGTATTTGGTTGGTCTTTCTGTCTGAATTTGGACTTGGTTTATGTAACACCCGAAGATGCCTGTTTAGAGCTTAATACCATTGTTGTGCCTTACCTTTTCAGCTTAGCTTTTAGGTCAAGTTGTTTATCAACAGAATTGCTGTTCAATTTCGTTATATTTCAATTTCGGTGGTCTTTCTTGCTTCTATATAAGTAATCTTTATGTAAACTTGGGTCTTCTCTTCTCTTCTTCTTCTTCTTTTCCTGAGGTGGGGTTGTATAAGAACTTACATGTGGCAAAGGTTATTTTTTTTCCTTCTTTAAAGTGTTAATACTATTATTTTAATTTGAAATGTTTGCAGATCTACTTGAAGTTTGAACTTCTTCTGGAGATCTAGCCCGTGTTCAACTTCTCTATGAACGGCGATTACTGAGTTTCCTGTATCAAGTGATCTCTGGCTTGATTATACTCGCTATTTGGATAAACCTTTAAGGTTTTACCTCATATTTTCTCTTTCCAATTCTTTATGTTTCAGCTATTTGTAATTTTAGCAATTAATCATCTCCTTTTCCCTTCAGTAGGAAATATTGTGCGGATGTTCATTCCAGGGCTAGGAAAAATTGTCCCTGGGTTGGTGATCTTTGGGTTCGATCTTTGCTTGCTTTGGAACGTTGCCATGCGCCTGAGAAAGAGATCTACTGTAAGTTTCAGTTGTTACCTTCATCTGTTAAGAATTATCAGAGATTTTTATAATTAGCTTAAGAGCATGAAGTTTCACAAACTTTAGTGTTGGAATTTCATTCTGCTCCTTTTACAAATACAGAGGTACTCTTGTTGTTTAAAAAGATTTTTATATCATATCAGGTCTTTGAGAAGTCCCTTCTATGCACTTTTCCGACCTTGAGGAGGTAAAGATATTCTTTACTCTAATTTGCAGGCTTGACTTACTGCTTTTTTTAACTTGTTACTGTTTCATTTAGTCTATGCATTAAAGATCTTTGTTAATTGGGCCCTCTTTGTTTCAGTACCTAAACTTATTCCTCACTCGAGTGGATGGGTTGAGACGAAGAATCCTTTTGCCTGGAGCAGAAGAGATGCACTGAATTTTTCATTGTAAGGGAAACCTTTCAGGTTTGTATATGTATACTGTTTATTTTCCTTGTTAAAATTGTTTTTACTTAATGTCAGAACTTGAAGCTTCTCAAAGACATTTGTATATCTCTATTCATGGTGAATTTTGGATGAAGAAATCTTGGACCTTGTAGCTAGTCTACTCTTTCAGGGTCCAGGCATATATCTTTGACGAATGTGTATCAAGTGCTTCTACCCTTAGATTCTGAAGAAGTCTATTAATAAACTTCACTTAGTGTGCTGTATAGTACCATTATGACCACTTATTATAATGTACATTGCATAGTCATACTCCAAGATGGCTTTTGCTAATTGCTAATTGTTACCTTTGTTAGTTGTTTTATCATGGATAGTGTCATTTGCTAAAGATTTCTCATTCGGCATTGGAGTGCATGCACAGAAGATATCTTTATGGATCTGTGAATTTATAAAATTTGCATGTCATTTTCAACTGGTACACCGTTGTTGTATAAGGCTGTCTTCAATATTTGTGTTATAAACAATTAGCCTGATGTCTCTTAGTGTACCATCGAAATTGCAGGCTCTGTATGATTGGATGTATTATATATCCTTGAATACTTAATTGTGCAGTTTCTTCCTTTCAGCGGGCATCAGATTACTTATCTCAACAGGAAGATAACGATGTTTTGCTGCATTTGTATGCTTATGGGGCTCGTTTGGAGCTAAATTTGGAAAAGATCAAGCTGCAGCCGTGGTGTTTGGGAGAGCCTGGTTAAGATCTGGTTTGACCCATTCATCTTTTTCTCTTATCCTGTATAGTTCAATATGATTTATTTATGATTCATCTTTGTATTGTTTCCATAAAACTTGCTTTTTGTCTGTGCAGCGGGTCAATGTTGGAAGCCTGGCAGGTTATATAGCTATGGAAATTGAATTGGGTCATTTAAATGAACTAGGTCCATCTATAGGAGATGCTATTGTAAAGATTTAGTGGGACAGGTTCAGAGGTATAATTCTTTTACACTGCTGCTTTCAATTATTCTAGATTGATTTATGGACAGAATTTGAATTTGAATGTTTTTAAACTGTTTTTCTTTCTCCCTTCTTCTCAATTTTTTCCTTTTGAAAATTGTTGCTTTTAGTAGTATACGTGCGGCTCTATTTAATCATTGATATTTGTCATCTGGAATGCAATCATTTCTTTCTTTATTTCTTTTTGTTGCTGATGGAAGTTAAAACCAGACAAAAAGTATAGTATGAGTTTAGTTTCAAGGTTGTTAAAATGTTGTTTATCAGTAGGCATTATAGGGATCTTTGAACTCTTAATTAGATCATGCTCTGCAGCTGGAATTTTTTCTGAAGCACCTTTCAATGGGTCAACCTGTTTACTTGGGCACCAGAATCACAATGGTTTAATAGTTTTTGAATAATTTTTCCAAATCATACTAAATAATATATGGCAGTTTCTCTAGGGGTCAGGCTAATTGAAAATCCATGACGTTTTTTTCTAATTTCTGTTAACGTTGGAGTTACTGATACTCTGATGGAATTATGGCATATATGAAGCAAGCACATTTAAACCATAGGTAGCAGAGTAGTTTTTGAAACACAATAGGCTGATATCTTTTTCCACTTGGCTTATTTTTTCCAATATGTTTGAAGAAAAGTTTCTTAAGTCAAGCTTTACTTTCTGAGTTTCATGTCAAAATATAGTATAGGTTAAAGAAGGCTTATTGATGTAAATAATTTATGTGACCTATCATATAGTCATCTAAGTTCTCTCTTTTCCATGATCAATTTAGGATTTAGTTTGATAAAGACAACCTTGTTATTTTCATCTTATCTTGATTGGCCTTACTATATTTAATCGGATTGTTTGCCAACTATCTGCTCCTGCTCCCGCTCCCATTCATATTATATGATCTCATTGATGATCTCAGTACATCATCTAAAGTTACTGAGAACTCTTGCTTCTTGATTTTATGATATTGAAAATATTGTTTTGGGTCCACAACTCCAGGGTGACTTGGTTCATTTGTTATGTACTGCCTTTTGGATCTGTTGATATATTCCTTTCCTAAAAAACAGAATTATTCAGGACATATGCCACAACTGGTTGCGTTTTGAGAGGGAATACGGGACACTTGAAGATTTTGACCACGCTGCACAGAAGGTACACATTCCTGCTGCAGTTTTAATTTATTTGTTTTAAGTGTCAATTAATCACGTATTTCTTTTTTCAGTCTAATGTATATAATGCATTTGCATTGCTATTGAGAATTAATATGTATAGATTTATTAAAAAACAATTGAAGTGTTTAACTAATGATATTTTAGCTGGTTCCGATGTCTGCATTATCTAGTAACCATATGTGC